GTGTGCCTACGCATGTGCATGTGTGTGTGCCTACACGTGTGTGTGCCTGCACTTGTGTGTGTGCCTACGCATGTGCAAGTGTGTGCCTAAACGTGCGTGTGTGCCTACATGTGCGTGTGCCTACGCATGTGCATGTGTGTGCCTACGCATGTGCAAGTGTGTGTGCCTACCCGTGTGTGTGTGCCTGCACGTGTGTGTGTGCCTGCACGTGTGTGTGCCTACGCATGTGCATGTGTGTGTGCCTGCACGTGTGTGTGCCTGCACGTGTGTGTGCCTGCACGTGTGTGTGCCTACGCATGTGCATGTGTGTGCCTACATGTGCGTGTGTGCCTACATGTGCGTGTGCCTACGCATGTGCATGTGTGCCTACACGTGTGTGTGTGCCTATGCATGTGCAAGTGTTTGTGCCTGCACGTGTGTGTGTGCCTACGCATGTGCAAGTGTGTGTGCCTACACGTGTGTGCCTGCACGTGTGTGTGCCTACGCATGTGCAAGTGTGTGCCTACACGTGTGTGTGCCTGCACGTGTGTGTGTGCCTACGTGTGTGCAAGTGTGTGTGCCTACACGTGTGTGTGTGCCTGCACGTGTCTGTGTGCCTGCACGTGTGTGTGCTTACGCATGTGCAAGTGTGTGCCTACACGTGTGTGCCTACACGTGTGTGTGTGCCTGCACGTGTCTGTGTGCCTGCACGTGTGTGTGCCTACGCATGTGCAAGTGTGTGTGCCTACACGTGTGAGTGCCTGCACGTATCTGTGTGCCTGCACGTGTGTGTGCCTACGCATGTGCAAGTGTGTGTGCCTACACGTGTGTGTGTGCCTGCACGTGTGTGTGCCTACGCATGTGCAAGTGTGTGTGCCTACACGTGTGTGTGCCTGCATGTGTGTGTGTGCCTACGCGTGTGCAAGTGTGTGTGCCTACACGTGTGTGTGTGCCTGCACGTGTCTGTGTGCCTGCACGTGTGTGTGCCTACGCATGTGCAAGTGTGTGTGCCTGCACGTGTGTGTGCCTACGCATGTGCAAGTGTGTGTGCCTACACGTGTGTGCCTGCATGTGTGTGTGTGCCTACGCATGTGCATGTGTGTGCCTACACGTGCGTGTGTGCCTACATGTGCGTGTGCCTACGCATGTGTATGTGTGTGCCTACACGTGTGTGTGTGCCTATGCATGTGCAAGTGTGTGTGCCTGCACGTGTGTGTGTGCCTATGCATGTGCGAGTGTGTGTGCCTACACGTGTGCCTGCACGTGTGTGTGTGCCTACGCGTGTGCAAGTGTGTGCCTACACGTGTGTGTGTGCCTGCACGTGTCTGTGTGCCTGCACTGTGTGCCTACGCATGTGCATGTGTGCGTGCCTGCACGTGTGTGTGTGCCTACGCATGTGCAAGTGTGTGTGCCTACACGTTTGTGTGCCTGCACGTGTGTGTGCACCTACGCATGTGCGTGTGCTTACACTTGTGTGTGTGCCTGCACGTGTGTGCCTGCACGTGTGTGTGTGCCTACGCATGTGCAAGTGTGTGTGCCTACACGTGTGTATGCCTGCACGTGTGTGTGTGCCTACGCATGTGCATGTGTGTGCCTATGCATGTGCATGTGTGTGTGCCTACACGTGTGTGCCTGCGCATGTACATGTGTGTGTGCCTGCACGTGTGTGCCTATGCATGTGCGTGTGTGCCTACACGTGTGTGTGTGCGTACACGTGCGTGTCTACACGTGTGTGCCTACACGTGTGTGCCTACGCATGTGCATGTGTGTGCCTACACATGTGTGCGTACGCATGTGCATGTGTGTGCCTACACGTGTGTGCCTATGCATGTGCATGTGTGTGCCTACACGTGTGTGCCTATGCATGTGCGTGTGTGCCTACACGTGTGTGCCTGCATGTGTGTGCCTGCACATGTGCATGTGTGTGCCTACGTGTGTGTGTGCCTACACGTGTATGTGCCTACACATGTGCATGTGTGTGCCTACACGTGTGTGTGCCTACGCATGTGTGTGCCTACGTGTGTGTGCCTACACGTGTGTGCCTACCCATGTGTGTGTGCCTACACGTGTGTGTGTGCCTACGCATGTGTGTGCCTACGTGTGTGTGTGCCTACACGTGTGTGCCTACCCATGTGTGTGTGCCTACACGTGTGTGTGTGCCTACACGTGCGTGTGTGTGCCTTCGCGTGTGTGCCTTCGCGTGTTTGTGCCTACACGTGTGTGCCTACCCGTGTGTGTGTGTGGAGGGCTAAGAATGTTTTGAAAGATAAAACTTTGACTCTCATAGG